TCTGCTAATGCAATGATCAACGATTTAGAAAGTGTCAAAAGAACTATAAACGTCATGGCATTAATACATCCAAATGTCACATTCACACTAGTCGACTCATCAAAAGATGCTAAAATAGTTACAACTAGAAAGGTATTATTATTATTGTTATTGTTATTACTATTTCTGCCGATTCATATTGATCATTGTGTTGGTTAATTATATTATGTCTTTCTTTACACACATATATATATAGGTAACATCAAGTATTTCCATATTTAGACAACTTTTTGGCGCAACATTAGCTCAAGTAAGTATATGTATGTTTAGAAATTGTCAAATGTCTAAATACATAATTAAATCTCGTGTATTCTTTCCTTAACAATTTCTTTATTAGAACCTTGAACCTGTTTATATTAAAGACCATGATTTCAAAGTTGAAGGATTTATTTCATTAAAAGGTTTTCACACAAAGGTATTTTTAGATTTATGTTGGAATAATTATATTAATAACGACTACATATCAATGGTACTAAATACTCAACTTTTAATTTAAAGCAACATCAATATTTTTGTAAGTTTAATTTTTCTACATGAAAACCCTTCTCTATTTCTATTTCTTTATTATATTATGTTATTGTCGTTAAATAATGATATCTAATTATTGATAGATGTCAACAATCGTTATATGTATTATAACAAGATATACAAATTAGTTAATATTTTGTTTAATCAAAGTAGTTTTGCAAAAAAGGTAAAATTTGATTGATAGTAATAACAATAACAATATCATCATTACTATTTAATTCATTGATCATTGTTTATTATAAACATAATTTTTCTCTTTAGAATAAGGACGAACAATCTTCATCTTCATCATCACGTTTAGAATCTGATTTAGAATTGCTTTATAAATCTCGTGAGTTTGTTAGTTCGTTCATCCCATTCATTCTTTTTTCACCCACATTCCTCGCTCACCTTATGTTCATCACAAAATATTTATGATTGCAGGTAAAAGTCATGTAACTAGATCTTTAGAAAGATATTGTATCTTTTTTATTCATCTCACTTGTCCTACAACGTATTATGATATATGTTATGATTCTGATAAAAGTGTCATAGAATTTGAGGTGACATTTCTTTTCCCCCTTTCTAACTCATCATAGCACCATTTAATTATATCTAATATTAAATTATTGTATTTAGAGCTGGACAAAAATATTTAACATAATATCTAACCTAATACAACAATTTTTAATAAATCATGGATTTTTAATGAAAGAAATTCCAACATCACAAATTGAAAATACCTTTTGTTGTTCTGGTGTTAATAATCCTAATGACGATATTAAAATGTCTACTGGCGGCGGCGGTGGTTATAAACTTGATTTACCGCCTTCTTTTGAAGATGTCGCTCACGTAAAAAGTGGTGGATTAAGACAATACAAATTTCAAGATTCAGAACTTAAAGGAACGACTCCTCCTACTTTTACTGATGCTGTTGCTACAAAACGAAATGTCAATAATCCAATTCAAAATATTTTTTTTATCAAGAAAAAAAGTGGAAACACGTAAGTGTGAATATAAAAATTTTATTTACGATTAATGCTCATATGCATCCTAATACATTATAAACAATCATATTTATATTATATTTAGATACAAAACTATACCAATTCGATCAATTAATCGTCCAAAATCCTCGAGCCAATGTACGTCACATAATTCAAGTCATCGCCACAGTTCTGATAAAAAATCAGTTTCATGGGCTCAAGAAAAATTTCAGGTTATACATATATATACACATGCATAAATATATCTACACGTCGCATACATTGCTCTCTTCCAAACTAATTATTAATTAATTACAATCATAATCATAATATTAACAGAAATGGAAAAATCCCGTATTCAAAAGTTTGGAACCTCACATCCCTTCAATGAAAACTCTAGCACAATCATCTTCTTTTTCATTACTGCCAGAAACTTCCAAAAATCATTTTTCGTTTAGTAATTCTGCAAAATTAAATATTTTAGAACATCGATTTAACAAACATGATCTCGAGTGCTCGGAAGTTATTGGGCAATTGGATGATAAATTTATTGTTTGTAAATTGCCATGTACTGACAATCTTAATAATAATAATAATAATAATAATAGTGTTATAAACAGTAATGACGATAATGACAGGGATGATGTAACGGGGAAAAGAAATGTTAAATATATATTGGTTCTTGTAGATCAACATGCTGCTGATGAACGTGTTAGAGTCGAAATGTTTATGAAAGAATTTTGTGAATTTAAGCAAATCAACAATATTGGCGGTGGCAATGATGACGACGATGACGAATTAAAAATTTCTATGGTTGGAACAGTTAAATTTACCAGTTCGCCGATTAAAATTTTTTTAACTAATCGAGAAGCAAAAGTTGCATGGAGATTTCAAAAATATTTTAATATCTGGGGAATTTTTTTTACTGATAAGCCAACATTATCAAAAGAAAATGATGATGAATTAAAAAAGGCAACATGCGAAAATCAAAATAGTAGAAAATCAAATCAAACATCATTTTTATCTACAACGCACCTCCACTCGTTCATCAATCCTGATAATGATTGTTGTCCAATTTTTATCACTCACCTACCAAAAATAATTTTTGATCGATGCACTACTAGTAATTTTACATCTAATAATTCTACATCTACTATAAACGACGGTAATGGTAATGATGGTGTTAGTGATTCACGTCTAATTCAAGAACTTGTGCGTCAACACTTATACTGGTTAGAAGAGATAGGTGGTATAGGATTGGGAGGATTCGTCAACAATTATAATGATGATAATTGTCAACTTCATTATGAGCAGAAACGACAACTAAAATGGCAATTTATGATTAGAACATGTCCAAGAGGTATTTTAGATATAATAAATTCAAAAGCTTGTAGAGGTGCTATAATGTTTAATGACAAGTTATCATTGGATCAGTGTAAAGAGTTGATAGCTAAACTTTCTAAATGTGAATTTCCATTTCAATGTGCACATGGAAGGTAACCAAATTGCTATAATATTTGCATTAATTATAACCTCCCCTATTTATTTGTTAACTAATCGTCTATTATGTTTTAAAGACCTTCTATGATCCCAATATTAAATTTAGAAGGCATTCAACAACAATTTCACGAACAGCAACAACTACTACTGAATAGACAAAAACAATCAGTTTCATCGTATAAACAAAATTTATTTACAAATGAAATTTATAATCACCATCATTTGAATGTTGAGTCTTCTTCTTTCGCTATAAATAAAGTTGTTGAAAATGGAAAATTTGGTAGTTGGAAAAAAAGAAAAATTAATCTAGATAGATACCATACGTTATTTAACTAAATATTATAGATTTGTATATATTATTTTTATAATTATTTTAATTTTTAAAAATAAATTTATAGAATTTTACCACCAGGCATTAATGCTATTATTCGACATATTTATTTATAACACACAATTATTGTTACATTTTTTTTTATCATCAATTCGTCAATTTGTTTTGATCATTAATCAGCCTGTTTTGGCAATAATTACACCAAAACTATATGTTATATATGGTATGTACATTATTATTATCATCATTTACACATTAGATACTTCGATTAATCGCTTTAATATTAAAATATGGCTAAAGAATATGATAAACTGAATAATAAAATATCAATTCCAACAATTTTCTTATTAACATGTTTTATCCTACCCTTTTTAGTGTTGACATATTTATTAGTAACGTCAACAAGTAAAATTTCTTCAAATTCGAAACAGATTATTTCAATTCCATTTATCTTGACATTAATCATTATTCCTATCAAGTTTACAAGTAACAATTTACAAATTGATATTATACTTTCTACAATTGGAATGGCATCATTTCTTAAATATTTAGACATATTTTTTGTTGATCCTTTTACCTTTAATTACAACAAAAATAATAATAATAATAATGGCAATGGCATGGGCATCGGTAATGGTAGTAGCGGTAGTAAAGAAATTTATCAAACAATTGAACAGGTTAAAGCCGATGCAGTATATCCATTTCGTAATTTATCATCATCATCAACTCGGACACCCGCAGCATCATCACAATCACCTTCATATTCATTAATCAAGCCGATGATATTTATTTTAGTATTAGACATAATCATATATAAATATTTCATCAAGAGTTTGAATGCGACTGAAATATTTTCAATGAAGCAATTCCATTCAAGGTCATTAATTAATTTAATATTTTGTTTTTGCATACAATTAAATATGGAATTTGGCAATAGATTCATAATACTAATTGGATCATTAATATTTACAAATGGAAAATATGATAAAAAAGAATGGAAGTTATTATTTGATAATCCATGGAAATCAACATCTTTATCAATCTTTTGGGGGAAAAGATGGAACCAATCATTTAAACATATTTGGAAATCTTTAATTTCCAAGTTAATTTATAATAATTCAGGTGATGATAACGGTAAAAATAAGAATAGGAGATTATTGCTAGTATTTGGTATATTTTTATTGAGTGGGATTCATCATGAATTTATTATTTGGTCAACAATTTATTATTGTTGGATACCAGGGGAACAAATTATATTTTTCATGTTACAATTTATTGGAATATTAATCGAAAGAAAATTAATTTTTAACCATGATAATAACAACAACAATAATAGTCTATTGTCTTTAATATTTGGATGGTTTTGGACTTTATTTTATTTAATAATTACAGTTTCTTTTTTCGTCGATTCTTATATACGATGTGAATATTGGATTGATGATTGATGATTGATTGACTGATTGATGGATTGATGGATTGATGGATTGATGGATTGATGGATTGATGGATTGATGGATTGATGGATTGATTAAAATTAAATAAATAATAATAAGATATTAAAGAAAATATTATATATATGATAACTAATTTTGCTATTAAATTCTATTTTCTATATATATATCTATTTTTTATAAAAATTATATATCTTTTAATGTTCTTAACATCTCTTCACGCGTAAGATTTGTAAGATTATTAATTTCATCTCTATCATCCTCATTCATATTTGATGTATCAATTGGTGGTAAAACTTTCAAAAGAAAAAAAAAAATAGAATATTAGGAATTATAACAATTATTATAAATAATAAATAAATAATTGTAATAATCTTATACCTCTGACTCGAAATTCGCCACTTTTAAATAATCTTCTTTTTGAATCATAAAGATGACTATAATTTCCAACAACAATTGGAACAATTGGAATTTTGGCTCTTACGGCCATATGAAATGCACCCTTTTTAAATGGTAGTAAATCAGCTTCTTGTAAACGAGCGCGTGTACCTTCAGGAAAAATAAAAACGCTTGTCTAAAAAAAATTGTGATTGTGCGATGGATTGGTTGTAGGACGGTTGTGAGATGATGTAAATAATTAAATAATTAATAAAATTAATTGATTTATATTATTATTTTTTTAAAAAAATAATTTATTACTTTTTTTGCTTTGATTTCATCAGCAGCTTTTTGTAAAGCTTGTACTGCATTTTGATGATTTTTACGATCAAGAAATATTCCTTGACCAAGTTTCACTAAAGTTAACAAATATATATAAAATAAATAAATTATTAAACTATTTTTAAAAAGATCAAATATCAATACTAATAATTAAAGGGTATTATTTTAGACAATAATATTACTATATCATCGTTAGATAACTGCCATTGTCATTATGTAATTACCACTAACATTATATTTACTTACTGTACAAGTTTAGAAAAGGAACATATTTTAAGGATGATTTGCCGATAACTGTACAATTTTTTGGAAAAACTTTTCCCAAAACCAAGAGATCAGCAGTTGCCTGATGATTACAAATAAAAATTGCTGGTTTAACATCGAGATACTCTTCTCCTTCAACTTTAACAGTTATACCCACAGCTCTGCTAGCAAAAAATAGAAATGAACGCCCCACTGCCCAATTGATCAAGCCTCTTTTACCAATAATTGAAAAAAATATTGAAATAAAACTACCATATACTGAAAAAATTAACACTAAAATTGAACTGATTATTGCCTTAACTACAAATTCTATTGTTGGACTTATTTTAATACCAGTTATAATTGCTCCAATTATTAGTGCTACTGCAAATGGATGTGAACTAATAATAATACTTATACTATTTAATTTTAATAAATTGTCTAACAATAACGTCATCTTATTATTTAATTATTAATTGTTTTGATTGTTTTAATTGTTGGAGAAAGAGATATTCTTGAAAAAAAATTTTTTTGAACAAAAAAAAGAATATTTTTATATATATATATACGCTGGAAATATTACTAATCTCTGAGCGGCTAGTAAAGAAATTTGGAAAATAAGGAGTAAAAAAAGGGAGATAAAAGATAATAGGGTAAACAATGACAACGAAGATTGGTAGGAAAGATGATGACAAGGAATAAAAACAAAACAAAAAATGAATGAATAAATCTTCCGCTAATTATGTCATATATATGAAATTGGAAATGAACACGCGACTTTGTTTTTAATGTGCAATAATTATATATAATTATGAAAAAAATTTATTGTATAGGTACAAACAATGTCGTGTAACTTGATAATCGACAGATTGTTTATTATCTAAAAAAATACAAGAAAGAATTCATCTATTATCATATTGTTAAGTTATATATATTAATATGACATAATAATAATATTCATGAGATAATCTTATAAATCGTCATCTTTAATTTATTTATTTTAACATAGTTAATTAATAGTAATTATAGTAATAGTAAATTGTAGTGATAGTGATAATTTATATATCAATTATCAATAAATTAAAATCACCAATCGGTTTTCCATCCTCCCTCATCATCGTCATCATTATCATCATCATCACCGTCTCTAATATTTTCTTTATCTTCCTCCGCCTTCTTTTTCTTCAAATTTTCTTTCTCTCCCTTCAACCTTTGATTATATCCACCACCACCACCACCAACAATATCATCATCATCAACGTCTTCTACCACATCTTTATCAACATCATCCTGATCTTCTACAACATTGTTTAATATGTCAATCATCTCAGTTACTTCCTTTCTGATTGATTCAATTTCTAATCCCAAACTATCTAATTGAGGTCTAGAACTATTCAAATAATCATTTATATTTATGAAATTTGTACATAAATCATATGTTGATTCAATTGCTGTTTCTTTTTCTTCTGTTGTATTTGCCATTGCTGAAGAATACAGCGAATTGAGTTGACTTAGTAATGAAGATATTGTTGGTGGTGGATTCTGTTTGGGTTTTGATGCTTTATATATAATTATTAATTAATAATAATAATATTTTTTTAATAAATAAATTACATTTATTATTATTACTTTGTTCCTTATCAACAATCTCTAATTCGTCAATTAAATCCAAAATGTCATCAACATAATTTTCATCTTTTGTAGTAGTCGAACTTAATTGTTGTTCTTGGTAAAGTTGTAATTGTTTCAAATCTTGTAACATTTTGTTAAAGGTTAAAGGTTTTGGAGGTGGTGGTGAATTAGATTTACGTTTAAACATTTTTAATTTTCTGAAAAATAAATAAAAAAAATAAAATAAATATAGAATATAATTGTACTACGTGATTTTTTCATGATTCATTTATTTACATATTTATACCCTCATTCATTCATTGTCTTTTAAAATATAAGAAAATGTCACAAATTAGAACAGAATTAATAGCACCTGCTGTTAACTTTCTTAAAGACCCAAAAGTTCAAATTTCTCCAATTCAGAAACGTGTTGCTTTTCTGGAATCTAAAGGATTAACTTCTGAAGAAATTGAAGAAGCACTTAGACTTACACTAATTTCAACTAAACAACTTACTACTACTATACAAACCATCACCAATACTCCACCACAACAAATAACGACATTACAAGTAAATAAAACAAACAATAATAATTCTTATAGAACACCGTCAATAATACTAAGAGCACCGCCACCTCCTCCAAGATTAGATTGGAGAGATTATTTTTTTGTAGCAATTCTAATTGGTGGAACAAGTTACGCGATAAGAGTTTTTGTTAAAGTAAAAAATTTAAAATTTAAAATATTATATATATTATATGCGTTTAAATAATTATAATTGATCTAAATATAATTATTATTTATAGAAATATATATTACCATATTTTAAAACATTAACAAAAAAAAAATTTAATAAAGACAAACAGCAACTTTCCAATCAATTTATACTTACCACCAAAAATTTAGAAATAATCAAATCAGATACCCAATTAACCAAAAAAACTATCGAGGAACATTTATTTAAAGTTAAAGAGACTTTGAATACAATAAATAAAGTTCTCGTGAATTTGTGCGAGACCGATGGAAAAAAAGATCGAGAGATTACAATAGTGAAATTGTATATAGACGAAGTGCGAGATTCAATTTCAAAAGTAAGCGAATTCATGATTCTTCCCAAAATTGATAATAATCTTTATTAATATTTACATTTACATTTATCTTTTACTGAAGTTTTTTGAACAAACAAAAGAATCACAAAATCAATCGATTTCTGAAATAAAAAAAGAAATTAAATATCTAAAATCTTTAATAATTAATAATCGAAGAATATCGCGACAAACCATTGTATCACCAATATTTGATTCAATATCAACAGCATCTTTAACAATTACATCTCCTATACTGCCGCCGCCGCCACCGCCGACCCCAACAACACCCAATCATAGAAAATCTTTATCTAGATCTATACCGCCTTCAGCATTTTCCTCTGGAGAAACAGGAGAAAGGGAAACGATAGGATCAGAACAAGATTCAACCCCGTCATGGAAATTGGGTATGAAAAACACATCCACCGCAACCAAGATTCTGGTGGAACAATAATTCTATTCCAATAGTGAAAAAAAAAATGTAAAATAATAATAGTATAAATGTATTTGTGAAAACAAAAGAATAGAGAAGAAAAAATATTTTGCATTTAATAATGTTTATTTATACAAAATAATTGAAATAATAGTTTTACGTGAAATAATTAATTAATAATTATTTTTCTTTTTTTTTATTAGGCGATGTATTTAGATTTTTTGTTGTGCGAGCTTTTGCTGAACCTTTTGAAGAAGAAGAAGTTGTGCTAGTAGAAGAAGAACTAGAAGTAGACTGAGTTTAAGGTGTGCGAGAGGTGTAAGATTTAAAAATTTTATTTTTGCTATAAATTCAAAAATCGAAATCCTGAATCTCCTTTTCAGGAATCTATCAAAATACATTCAATAATTTTTCTATTATTCATTCTTCAAGTGTAGTATATTTTGCAATGGACATTTTAATTTTTTTAGATTTGTAAATATATTATTTATTTATTTTAATTTTAGAATATTCATATAATATTAATATGGGCATTGGGTGTCACAACACATAATGTCGATCAATAAGTTATTTTTTTTTAAAGCAAAAAAGAAAATAAAAAATCACATTTTCGAAATGCTACCAGTCCAAAAAAGAGATATGTTACCCCGTTTTTGAACATATTATAGCATAATATCTCAAGTTGGTCGGTACAGAAATATTTTAAATACCAATGGCGAAAAAAATCATGATCGAAAATTACCAGGTGTAATAAAATCTCGTTTTTCGAAATTACTAATCCATGAAAAAGAGAGATATTGTTCTAATTTTGAATATATCATGGTGTAATGTCTCTAGTTTATCGTTATATATAGGAGATTTTTTGAGGGTAAGAAATATCAATGATGAAAAAATCATGATCAAAAATTATCATATTGCAATGGGTATAATAAAAATTACATTTTTCGAAATGGTAATATTCTCATTTTGAATATAGCAAGACTAATATAAGTATAGTGTAATAATCTCAGTACAGAGATTTTTGAAGGTAACAAATTACCAATGATGAAAAATGGTTATCATAAAATTTTCCTTCCCAATATCCTATTACTATTAAATTAATATTGATGAATTTGCCGATCCTTTTGTGAACGGCTACATGAATCCTGAAGAAAAAAAATTTTATTTTTATATATATTAATATATATACATTAAATGAGATAAAATACATAATCAGAACATAAAGGAAATGCCACAAAAAAAAAAAGCAGCCACATCATAATATTTTACTGCCATTCAATTAATTAGATTTTGTTGATCCATTTGTATGACGCCATGCAACTTCGACCGACCAATGCAATAGTAAAAATAGCTGTGTCTGTCTGTAAATGCGAAAGAAACACGAATTGAAAATTAATTTGTCAAAAATTTTGTGTACAATAATAAATTAAGAACTGCCACGCAATACGTGCGATTTTTATACATTCAATTTCATCCAATCAACTTTTGCCAACACTGATCATTTCACTAAATACAAATATTTATTTTTGATATATAAAAGGCTCTCTCAAAAAATCAACACATATTTTTTTAAAAACAATTTCAATAAAAAGATTTATTTACACACATATTATATACATAAATACATAACAAAAACGAAATAATATAATATTAATAAATATGAAGAAATCTACCTTCTTCAAATTAGTATCACTGTTATGTTTAATACTAGTCATAATACCTATATCATTAGTACCGGCCGAAGACACAACAGCAACAGAGGATGTTGGTACAGGTATTTATTATTTTAAAATATAATTGATGTGTTTTTTCATGTTGATTATATATTTATATATATTTTTATCAAATTTAAATCATTAATTATCATTATCATTTACAAATAAATAATTTAGTTATTGGGATTGATTTGGGAACAACATATTCTTGCGTTGGTGTACACTTGAACGGAAGGGTTGAAATATTAGCCAATGACCAAGGACATCGTATCACGCCTTCTTTTGTGGCTTTTACTGACGATGAACGTTTAGTTGGTGATGCAGCTAAAAATCAAGCTGCAAATAATCCTGAAAACACCATATTTGATGTAAAACGTTTAATAGGAAGAAGATTTTCCGATAAAGATGTTCAAAACGATCTCAAACATTTCCCATTCAAAGTCATAGATAAAGATGGCAAACCTGTTATTTCTGTTAAAGTTAAAGGCGAAGATAAACTTTTTACACCCGAAGAAATTTCTGCCATGATATTGGGTAAAATGAAAGAAATTGCAGAGTCGTATCTGGGTAAAAAAGTTACTCATGCTGTTGTCACAGTCCCAGCTTATTTCAATGATGCTCAACGTCAAGCAACAAAAGATGCTGGTGTTATAGCAGGACTTAATGTCATGCGTATTGTAAATGAACCAACAGCTGCTGCAATAGCATATGGACTTGATAGATCGAAAGGTGAACGTCAAATTCTTGTCTATGATCTTGGTGGTGGTACTTTTGATGTTTCATTATTGTCAATTGATGATGGTGTGTTTGAAGTTTTGGCAACCGCTGGTGATACTCATTTGGGTGGTGAAGATTTTGATAATAGAGTAATCGAACATTTTGTAAAATTATATAAAAAGAAAAATAAGGTTGATGTCACAAAAGATTTGAAAGCAATGGGTAAATTAAAGCGCGAAGTTGAAAAGGCCAAACGTACATTATCATCTCAAATGTCAACTCGTATTGAGATTGAATCGTTTTTTGATGGCAAGGATTTCTCTGAAACATTGACTCGTGCAAAATTTGAAGAATTGAATAATGATCTTTTCCGTAAAACAATAAAACCTGTTGAAAAAGTCATGAAGGATGCAAATGTTGAAAAATCGGCTGTTCATGATATTGTTTTGGTCGGTGGTTCTACACGTATTCCCAAAGTTCAACAACTTCTCGAGGAATTCTTTAATGGTAAAAAAGCCTCAAAAAATATTAACCCTGATGAAGCTGTTGCATACGGTGCAGCTGTTCAAGGTGGCATTCTTTCTGGTGCTGAAAATGTTGAAGATCTCTTATTAGTAGATGTTTGTCCCTTGACTCTTGGAATTGAAACAACCGGTGGAGTTATGACAAAATTGATTCCTCGTAATACTGTCATTCCAACCAAAAAATCACAAATATTTTCAACTGCGGCCGATAATCAACCAGTTGTATTGATTCAAGTGTTTGAAGGTGAACGTTCCATGACAAAAGATAATAACTTACTTGGTAAGTTTGAATTAACAGGAATTCCACCAGCACCACGTGGTGTACCTCAAATTGAAGTTACTTTTGAAATTGATGCCAATGGTATCATGAAAGTCTCTGCAGCTGATAAAGGTACAGGAAAGTCAGAATCTATAACAATTACAAATGATAAAGGACGTCTTTCAAAAGAAGATATTGAACGAATGGTTGAAGAAGCTGAACAATTTGCTGAAGAAGATAAAATACAAAAAGAAAGAATTGAAATAAAAAACCAACTTGAAAATTATGTTTATACAACCAAAAGTCAAATAGAAGATAGCGATAGTGAACTTGGAAAGAAAATCAGTGAAGAAGATAAGAAAACCATCAAAGATGCGATTAAGAAAACTATTGATTGGCTTGAGGAATTTTCAAGTTCTGCTACTAAAGAAGATCTCGAAGAAAAAATAAATGAACTACAGGCTATTGTAAATCCAATTACAAGCAAATTGTATTCATCAGATGAACAACCAACAACCAGTGACGAGGATGAATTACCAACACATGGAGAATTATAAAAAAAAATGAACATTTTTAATATTTTTTTTAATAATTTATTCATATATATAATTTTACATGCATTTTTTTTTTTTTGAATTAGAAACAATTTTTTAATTCATATCCATTAATTATACATAAATTTTTTTCGTTTCTTTTTTCAATATCTCTTTTTTTTTCCAAAAAATTAGTATTAGACAATAAAAAAAAATTTAAAGACGATTAGTATCCATATTTAGTTATCCAAAAAATATAAATGAATTGACCTGCTGTTAATGTAACCATTTAAATCTGTGAAATTGATTAAAAAAAATGAAATACCATTGTGCATATAAAGTAAGAATAGACAGCATATTCCCACCAAATATATACTTTTATTGTTTTGTTCTTCCTCCGTCAAGTAATAAAGTTGTGAATAAATCAAAGGAAATAAATAATTAAAATATGGATTCCGGACTGGTAAAACAATTTAATGAAATTAATGAAAAGAATGAAAGGTTGAAAGAGGAAAATGAGAAACAAAAGATTGAATTCGTTAAATATAGACAAACAGTTGAAACAAAACATGAAGAGTATAACGAGTATATTGATAAATTAAAAGAAGTGATTAATAAATTAAAAGAAAACTGCGACAGGTTAAATAAAGAAACGGAACATTATCGTAATAAATTTACCAGTTATCAACGAGAAATTGAACCAAGATATAAAGAAGAAGTTAAGAAATTAAGACAAGAAAAAGAACTTTATCAGAATGAATTAACCAAATATCAACAAGTAATTATACCAAAATACAACGAAAATATTAATAATTTGAAAAAAGAATTCTCTATTGTTTATGAAAAATCCAGTACCGAAGTTACTAAATTACAACAATCTAATACTCGTGCAGAGAAAAAAATTTGCGAGATTGAAATTGAGAAACAAAACCAAGCTATTATGGTTAAAGAATTGGAAAAGTTGAATAAAGACTTGGAAGTTAAAAATGAAAAATTAAGAAAAGAAGCTTCATCATATCAATCAGCTTTACGAAGTGCAGAATCATCATGTTACAATTTGAGAGATGGAGATAGGAATGATCCAGTTCAACTTACTAATGATTTAAGATCTTTGCAGGAAAGAATTGAGAGATATGTAACAACTTTGAAAGGTGCCGTGGTGGTTGATAATGAGAAAGTTCTAGAATTATTCAAGAAATATAATTTAAAGATTGAAAACCAAACAACTCAAGACAAACTTTTGATGAAATCAGTTTTACAACGTTATGTGCTGGAAAAAGTTCTCGAATATGCAGATGAATATCTTAATAACATCAATGATCCTTGCAATCAAGAGAAACAAATCATGAATCACGCAGATGGATTGTTAAATATTCTTGGTAAATTTCATCGTAATCATTTAATTAAAGATAATAAAAATAAATTTACTACAGCAAGAAAAATTCATGAACAAGTTTATGGTTTATTGGGTGAACATGGATTCTCTGATATCTATGATGAAAATAATGATAGTAGCAATAGCAGTAATGGTGACGACAATAAACAGCTTCAATCAACCAAACATCCATTTGTATCATCTGCAGTACAAAAACTCAACGCATTAATGACTGAATATCGTCTGATCAAGGATGTAAATAAGAGGAGATACACGGAAAATATGGCAGAAAATATTATTAAAGATATTGTTAGAATTTTCAGGTTTCGTTTGTTGATAAATGAACCAAGATTTGAATTGTATTGGTTTAAACGTAACGAAAAAATCAAGCCAGATCTTATGAGAGGTACATGGGACGATGATTGTTTGGAGGATTATGTTGTGGATATTTGTTTCTTCCCGTTAATTGGAACAAATCTTAAGGATAATAATAAAAATAATGATTTAGATTGTAAAATTCTCACTTATGCAAAGGTTTATTCTCGATCCATTATAAATTCTCATGGAGAAGAAAGTTTGGAAGTGGATGAGAAAAAGGCATCTTCAGAAAATAATAATAATAATGGCATTATAGCCAATATGCTGAAAAAAGTTATTGGAAGACACGAATCAACCGATCAGCAAAATGGTGAAAATCAAGACGGTAATAACTCCATCTCTTCATCTGTTCCACAGGACAAGAAGGCTAAAATTCCAACAAAAAATAATGACGGTAACGATAATCCTTCTTTATCCAACAATAATGTAAATAGTTCAAAAAGCAATGATCTGAAGAATAATCATCAAGAAAAAAAAGGTAGTAATCAAGAAAATGAAGATAGTGATAGTGATAGCGATGATAACTATAAAGACTTGGATTATGATAAAATAGATCGTGATGAGTCGTATTAACATATATTTTCTGAAATATTGTATTTTTATATTATTATATTAGAATTATATATAAATCATCAAATTACTTTATTTATTGTAAAAAATTATCAAGCAAATAAAATATATATATATGAATATTTATTTTTTTAAAAAAAAAATTGCAATTTGAACTAGCCGCATTTGAAATGTATATTTATTTGTTGGGCTGGGAAATTACGTGGCCAAAAATGTATAATAAAATATTACACCGTTAAATTATTTTAACAAAATGCTGAATTGGTGAATGTATATAAAATTCTTTCTTGTAAAAAAATGTATTGTTCTTTTATTTAAGATTCGACTATCCTTTAATTGCCAATCAGTTAATCAGTCATTCTTCCTTTATTCCATTATTACTATTATTATTACAAGTAATTATAATTCAACTAATTCACCTAAAATCAACATAAATATGATATGCATCTGGATGTTGTGAATTATTACTACTACTACTACTAATAATAATAATAATAATAATAATAATATTATTATTATTAAAATCAATTTCATGTTTAAACTTTTATTTTTTAAGAATTTCATCTAGTTTGTTTTAACAAAAAAAAGTTTTCCGATAGTTGGTCTTTTTGATGAATCTTCATCCCAACACTTCTGCATCGCAGGCAATGTTGGTATCAAAAATTAACTTATTATCATCAAATGGTGGGCAGCCTGCAAATATTGCCCATGTTAACATCCCACTCAACACTATAAACACCTGTTTCTTTTGTGTTCTTTTGCCACCAAATAACTCAGGCGTAACGTATGATACACCTCCGCATAATCCTAAATCTGTAATATTACAACCACCTCCTTGCGATAATATGAATTAAGACTTTTATATGTATATTAATTATACAATGAATGAGTTACATAAATACCCAAAGATCGTAATTCTATCTTTTAATGTTGATTTTTTTGTAAATAACTGATAATTTAGAACAATCGCATAATTCCATTATCTGGGAATTTAATAGTTAATAGCATAGCAATAACAACTGTTTAGTGTTGGTGTTTTGATTTTATAGTAATATGTTGCCTTATTTATGTTTCAAATGAAAACCACCACTTCATCAAACATGTTTTTCCTGGATCACTTGAATCATTTAACGATTTTAATACTACACTACAAGTTCCATGATAAATATAACTTCTTATCCATCTAAACCACCTTCATTTAATTTTTAACATATCCGTTCTAAAATATAGTATGGAAAAGATGATTTTATTTAACATTATTGAATAAAATGTCCAAGTATTAAAAGGACTCTACTATAATTGTATACACTTTTCAGATTTACGCTTGTTACATTCTTTTGATTAGCCTAATTTATAAATTGCTCCTTATGATGGCTTTTTCATTCCATTAATTATATCTGAAACATATTGGTCAGGATTAAATTTGAACCAGAACGTTACATACAAAGTTCCTACTTTCTAATTTTAAAAAAAAAAACTTTTTTTCGATAGCGATACTTCTTTCCGAAAGTTATTTTTAAAAAAGAAAAATGGATTAATAAATATAGATTTATCATATTTTTCCCTTTATATTATTATTAGGAAAAGTTTAATTAATAATCTTACCATTATACGAGTAAGATACAGGTCATATTGAGATTATTACCATGAATTTGATAACCATTTTATTTCTCGTTTCCAATCCAAATCTCATAAATAATACATATAGTGTGGAAGTAAAGATAAACCGCTTGTAAACCAAGAATGCAAGAAGTGAAAAAAGAAAAAATCGATAATTGTCCAACGATAGGAATTTGATTCGGGTTAATTGGTTATAAGAAAACAATGTTATTATCATCATTACTTATAACGATGATGGTAAAGATGTTTTTAATGATCAAATAGAAACATGAATTTGAAAAAAAATTATTTTGATAAATTTATTTATATCCTTGTTATAAATTAAAATTTAATAAGAATTTCGATTACGTTAGTAATTACAGTGCTTGTTCGCGCATAAATCAACGATGTTGTACAATAATTATCATCATTGTCAGAATTATATAAGTTAAAAAATAATAATTACTTTTTTTCGTGTCCGTATTGGACTCGCGTTTTTTTCTTTTTGATATCATGCAATTCGTAAGCATTTATTATTAGATATTTCGTATATTAAGATATAATCAATTCTTTCGTTAATTTATGGACTTATGGCGAAATGATTATGATTATGATTATGATTATGATTATGATTATGATTATGATTATGATTATGATTATGATTATGATTATGATTGTGATTATGATTATGATTATTAACGCACATAATGCTTACGATTACAAAATAATAGTTTCGCGTAAGTAACCAAAAGATGAAAGGAATCAATGTAATTTTTTTAAAAAATGAATATATGGGGTCTGGATAATAGACAAGGGCCATAATGTGAAAAAAGTAATTTTGAGTTAATACCATCTCTCTATGTAACTCTTCATGTAGAACATTAATTACTTAGAAACTATACTAATACCTACTTTACATAGTAGTTCACTTTCGTTACGGTCCTTTTCTGTTGACCAGGCCCATATGTCCGTGTGTCTAATAATTATATTGATTAATTTTTAAAGTTGTTGGTAATACAATTTGCAGAATCACACATCTTCCTTACCAATGCTGTAGTAGTAATGAAAATTAAGATTATGTTAAAGATTATGTTAATTGACACTATAAATTTTAAGTGTATCTTGAAGAATCTGTGATAAAATAGATATGTTCGTAAAGACCCGAAATTTGTGCATCAAGTAATAGGCAAGACCATTTTACTTATTATAATTATTATTAATTTTTAAGATTATAGTGATATTTTTATTGTGAATCAGCATACAAATAATCGAGGTTGTTTATTATCTACTAAAGTAAAATGTTTGATTAAAAGGATTGAAAAGAAAATTAATCAAATGTGCAATAGCACTGAGGTGGGTATTGAATTATATATGAGTGTATGTGGTCTAAAGGGTAAAAGGAAAGGGAAGGCAAGAATTATTGCACAATTACGAAACAATTTAGTGTAAAACTTGCAATTCTTCTGAAGTTACGTTTGAAAATTTTCTTGATGATAATTCATTTGGAATTAGTGGTGTTAGTATAAAAAAATTAATAGTTGTAGTTAATAATAATAAAATATTACCTTCAAAAAATCTTGTAAACATGTCCCACTACTACTGATCAACAACTACCAAATACAATCAAGGAATGTTTTTTCGGGCGCAATTATTACGGATCCGCTGTAATTATTACACTCGTAAGTTCCATATGAAATTGCATAAACTTACATAATACGCAACGAATTTTTTATGCAGGCTTGTAAGTTTTACAATTTTTACATAAGTTACACAATCATTACACTAATTATGTAAGTTTACGTCAGAAAAACTTTTTCGATGAAATAGCAAGATCCTTGTAAATACTTGAAATCAACATACAAGATCGTCGGCCTTGAAATTTTAGTTAGTAAGAACAAATATAATAATTTAAATAATTACTTAACCACTTTCTAATAAATGTGAATCCAAAGGATAAAAAAGGAAGGTTGAGTAATGAAAATTCGGAAAATTCGATGATTGGTTGAAATTTGATAAAATAATAAAAATACCGACGGCTGAACAAAATAATAGTCAAGGTATAAACAAATAAACCAAAACAAAATGATTAGATAAGTCGTTCCTTTTTTACTTATTTCCATATTCCTTTAAACCTACTTACAAAAAATGCATTGACTTTTCACATTCAGTAAAATCACTACAAAAGTGGGAGATATTTATTGTTGATATTTTTGAGCTCAGATACGATATAATTAAGGCGAAGAAGGATCATACATAGTTAAAAGTGCGTATTCTTATATATATACATATTATTTAATACAGTTTTAGAAATCAACAGACTGATAATTATAATAATTATCATTATAAATCGATTAATCAACCAATTGAAGCTGAAGAAAATTATTATGGCTTCAGTCTCCGCGTTCTCGAATTGAGGTTTCTCCATTATTATTATTAAAGCTACTAGGTAGCCAAATCAATGCTTCTTGGGCTGTAATAACATCATTCTCGTTTAGATTAATACACCACTTGAACTTGGTAATTTTCGAAACCAACAACTTCATCGTCATTTAAATCTTGCGTATATGTAATTTTGTTGACAAACAAATAATGCTACCTACGTTGTATGTAATATGTCAAACTAGAAACTACAAAAATAACAACATACATCGATTTAACCAAGATCCTATTGGTCAATCGAGAAAATCTATACTAATATGGCAAGTAATTATCGCGTCTCAGCTCAGGGCTGGAAAATAGTACTTTTAAAATCTTGGTTTTCCTTAAAAACTTCCGAAAAAAAAAGAGTTGCCGGAAAATTTTTAGCATTCAGGAGAAATTTCCGTTTTTTTTTTTCCAGATCCTATTTCCAGCCCTGGTCTCAACTGTTTAAAGTACTTGATAATATCTAGTGTGGAACCAAATTACAATATGTGTCACCTTTTAAATTTTAAAGGTTCTCAAATTTTGCCATCATACCAGCCAGCTCCAAATTATATGTTCATTGTCTTCCTCTGAATAATTTTGTCCGTGCGAAGATGAAGATATAGACAAGGATATATCTTAAAAATGTTGAAAACATATAAACTGCAAAACCTTTATTACTGCGAGCAACTCATTGTCGTTTAAATGGTTTATATATGTGCAATGTTATATTTTTCCATTTAATTTTCACGAATATATCTCAGGAACAAAAAAACTTGTGATAAAACCTAATTTATTACAGAATTAGTTTCATTTGGCACACACATCGCATAGTGGTTGTGATTTGAGTCTAATTCATGGCCAAAGTTCGCTTATATGTATCCTTTAGTATATACTGTATCTACTTTTTTTTTTGTGAGACAGAGTTTCCTCAACGTACTAAGTGGGAGGATCTAGCCTTGGAATGTAATTATAATAAATCTTTCTATTTTTCTACGGAA